CTATTGGCCAGCCCATACTGGGCCTGGACCATGGACACATCTGGGAGGCTCTGGGGGCCAGTGCAGCAGGTGCAGGAGGGCTCTCAGGGCACATGGGCAGGCTGGACGCAGGGATCAGGGCCTGGTTCCCAGGGGTCATTCCCTCTGCCATTGGGGCAGCTTCTACAGCTCAGCCTCTGCATCCCACAAACCTGCTTCCCCACATCTGTGCAGGCCTAGCTCTAGGCACTAGGGACAAAGTGGGGACAAAACACATGAGTCTCTACCCTCAGAGGGGACTTAGTGAGACATAGTGGGACATGTGGCATGTTGGGGGAGGATAGCACCAGGAAGGTAAACAGGGAAGAGGAAGTCTCATGGTGCTAGTGAAAGAAGAGAACAGCACCAAGGGGAGGGTGGTGCTGCAAGTCCAAAGGGCCTGGGGCAAGGAGTCTGCTTGGAGACCAGCAAGAATCCAGGAGGTTGGCTCATTTTAGGTTGGCATGTCATGACGTGAGGTGGGCACCCTTAGGACTGGGGACCTTTCCAAGTTAAGTGTAGAGATTCACCAGAAGCTCCGAGGCATTTTACATCCCTCTTGCTATTCGGTGGTCTGAAGTCCCCCAGATATCATGCCTGTGCCACAGCCACTGGCCATGCAGACACCCCACTTGCCTGCTGCTGTGAGAGGTGCATGCTGATGCACTGGCACCTGTGTCCCTCTGCCTACTGCTAGGTTCTGGGCACACACGCGGTTGTGGTGGGCCATGAGGAGGGCGGCCCTGACACCCTGGCTGTGAGGAGCGGGAACACAGTGGAGCTGATCCAGGAGGGTGACGAAGGCCGGTGGTAAGATGCCCGTGTGAGCCCGTGCCTCAGCCCCACGGCACGTGGTGGCCGGCTAACCGCCACCCATTGCAGGTTTGTCCGGGACCCGAGCACAGGCAAGGAGGGCTGGGTGCCGGCCAGCAGCCTGTCTGCCCCTCTTGGCAAATCCAGCTCGACCCAGTGCCTGAGCAGCTCAGGTAAGGCTCGGGCTCTGCCCCAGCCATGCCCTGGGCCTGTTTGAGGAGAGGGCTCCAGTGTCGAGGAAGCAGCCAACGCCGCACCGTGTCTACCTGGTCTCCCCGCAGAGTCCAGCCCGGGGTCGGCCGTGCTAAGCAACTCCTCAAGCTGCAGTGACAGTGGCCAGGCCCCCTTCGCTGACCTACAGGGCTAGGCCGGCTGTGGACAATCAGGCCGCAGTGCAGGAGACCAACATGCGAACCCCTACGTTTTCTTTCTCTTGGGCTTGCTTAGTTTGGTGAGAGGACAGTGCTCTAAGATGTCCTAAAAGGGAGGACCCTAATCGCCCCACATGAGCCACAAAGGCGGCTGGGGCCAGGGCCAGACACTAGACTCTCCAGAGCAGAGGCTAGGTCCATGGGAAGATCCAGTGCACAGAAGTTTCCTTAGAAGATCTGGAGTGGACAGAGGGGGCCATAGGCAAGCAGGCCTCTGGACTTCTGTGCTCAGCCTAGCTGGTGAGAAAGACTACCGGAGCTGTTTCCAAGAGACCAGCAGCCCGAAGGGAGAGGGGACTCTCGTCTTTCACAAGTTTTAGGGTTTTTTTTTAACAGGGATTAATCCCATGGCCATTTTTCATGGTACTTTGGCCTCAGATCTTTACCAAGAATCACTGTGTTTACATGAAATGACAATTTGATACTGTATTTGATATAAAACTATTTTTTTGTTACTGGGGTTTACATTGAAGCATGTGGTTTGTACCACTAAATGATTTAGGGATCTCTCACGGAAACTGATGGCACCCCCAAAGCTCACCTAGTCACACTTGAGTGAAATCTTGTTCCTTAGTGACATCAGGTGGCATTTCTACAACTGGAAGCAGTTAGGAACCAAGAAGATTGCTTTACCTATGTAGATTTCATTTTCAAAGGAGGATTCAAACTATAATTTAAGATAGTAACATTCTTTTCTACAAAGAGTGGGGGGATTTGATTTTTTTAAAGAGCTTTACTGTGTTAGGATATTTTTATTATTTTTAAAGAAAACACAAAGACCCAGTTTCTGCAGGGCATCCTTTGAACTGGTGCTGTCATCAGGGCTCAGCCTTGCCGGGACAGTACCTCGGTCTAGCACCACCTGCCTCGCACACAGGCAAACTCTCCGCCCTGTCTGGGGCATAGTCACCCTGAGCACAGAAATGCCAACAGGGAGAGTTTACTGTATTCAAATCATGGCAGAACTGGAAAGAAAATGCTTCTGTCTCATTCCTTTTTATGTTTCAGAAACAAATTCTGTTCTTTCTAAATACGTTTCTGTGTCTAGCCAGGCCTCTGTTTGTGTGTGTGAGTATCTGAGTGTGTGTACATGTGTGTCTGGGTGCAAAGCTGTGTTCACATGTCCATGCTGCTGCACCGTCTCCTTGGTGCCCAGGTCTTTCTGCCATGGAGACTGGCCCAGCTGTGTTCCCTCCAGGTCTCCAAACAAGTCACTCTCCCTACCCTGTGGTGTGCAAAGCCATTGCTGGCCAGACCTCTAGAGATGGAAATAAAATAGAAAATGTGCAAAGACTCAGTAGCTTTTCTTCTGGTGTGTTAGTTATCTGGGAAATGACATGTAACGCTATGTATGTACTACCTTGTTCTGACTCTGCTCCTTCCGTCTCACTGCGGATGGCTCCTCTGTCATGTGATCTCCCCCTCATAAAGGCACTTTAAAATGTACGTTTCATACACTGTTACTGGGGTTTTTTTACTGCTGATGTAAATGAGGTTTAATGATCAGAGTTCTTTATTGTATGGATGAAGTTTGAATAAATACAATCCACTCCCTGCTGTCTGCCTCTGTCTGTCAAGGCACAGAGTTTCCCTCCTGAAGGCTTTAAGGGCAGCAACACGGCTTGTGCAAGGTGTCACAGCAGAGAATAGACGGCGGCCAGCCAAGCGGATTAGGGTGAGGCAGAGTCCCCGAGCCACATGTGCTTCATTCTGCTGGTGATGACCGTGAAATAGCCAGAGTCATACGGAGCAACGGCGAGAGCAGTGCAGAGGAGCAGGGTGATCATATGACCCAAAACGAGAGAATAAAGGAAGGTTGTTGATCCATCAGAAGCGTGGTGGACGGGAAACACTGTGATATGGAGAAGATGAGCACAGTGCACCAGACTCACAGGCGTGACCACCTCGGACTGGCCTCGTGGAAGAGCGTCAGATCAGATGTAACAAGTAGCTGCTAAGAGAGACCATAAAACAAAACTATACAAAGGCCGAATATAAAAGAAAGGAAAAAGATGAAACAGACAACCATTAGCTGAAAGACAGCTAGCTGTGATAGCAATAAATGCCAGCAGCCTACCAGATGGGATTCAGGACAGTTAATGGCGTAAGACAGCGATTTGCAACTGGTGTACCATGAGAGGATCTTAGGTGTCCCACAAAAAAGTTTAAAGATTGTTAAATTATTTTTGAAGGAAGTTCAAATCACAATAAATGTTTTCTTTTTTGCACTCTTTTTTTGATCAGAATAATAAATTAAGTGCCATGGAAGTTTGACTGTAGGTTCTCAAGTGAGCTGTGAGATAAAAAAGGTGAAAACACTGGCATAAGAGGACACTGCAGGCAATCACAAACTTGTAAGCACCTGACAATAACTCCAGAAACTCAGAAAGCAAAATTCCCAGTCATGTGTAGGACATTAGCTATCTTGTGGAAAGTGATCCCCATTTGTCCCTAAAAACAGAGAAATGTGCATTTTTTTCCTACACATATGGAACATACCCATAATATTTACAAAACAATGAAAATGATGATTTAAAAAATGGTATTTTGAATCTAAGAACATGTTTCTCCCCCTGGGTTAGTGAGGAAATTCTCTGGGCTCAGCTGTCTTTAGAACTGGGCACTGAACACAGTGCTGGGGCATCAGCTTGGATTGGCTAAAAGTATCTGATTTTTTACATGACAAAATGAATGAGTTAACCATTTAAAGAAACTAAAAATTAAGACGTGCATAACTCAAAGCATAAAAAGGAGTTAGTACAATTAGAACAAAATGCCAAAGGCAAAACAAATCAAAACCTTCAGAGGCATGGTCATAAAAAAAAAAATCAAAAGGTGGCACCTGTGGCTCAAGAGGCTAAGATGCCAGCCACATCCACCAGAGCTGGTAGGTTCGAATCCAGCCTGAGCCTGCCACACAACAATGACAACTGCAACCAAAAAATAGCCGGGCGTTGTGGCAGGCGCCTGTAGTCCCAGCTACTAGGGAGGCTGAGGCAAGAGAAACTTAAGCTCAGTAATCTGAAGTTGCTGTGAGCTGTGATGCCACAGCACTCTACCCAGGGTGATAGCTTGAGGCTCTGTCTCAAACAAAAAAAAAATCAAAACTTGGTTCTCTGAAAAATAAATTTTTTTTCACTTTTTTTTTGTTGTTCAGGATTCATTGAGGGTACAGAGAACCAGGTTACACTGATTGCATTTGTTACGTAAAGTCCCTCTTACAATTGTGTCTCACCTCCAAGAGGTATGTCACACACCATGACCACCCCCCCGCTCCCTCCTTCCCCCCTCAACTCCCCCATTTCCCCTCCCCCCACCTTGTACTAGGTCATCAATTGTCCTCATATCAAAATTGAGTACATTGGGGTGGCACCTGTGGCTCAAAGGAGGAAGGTGCCGGCCCCATATGCTGGAGGTGGCAAGTTCAAACCCAGCCCCAGCCCCCAAAAAAAAACTGCACAAAAAAAAAAAAGAACAAAAAATCAAGTACATTGGATTCTTGCTTCTCCATTCTTGTGATGCTTTACTAAGAATATGTTTCAACTCCATGCAGGTTAATACAAAAAATGTAAAGTCTCCATCTATTTTCAGTGGCTGAATAGTATTCCATGGTATACATATACCACAGCTTGTTAATCCATTCCTGGATTGGTGGGCATTTACATTGTTTACACATTTTGCCAATTGTAAATTGAGCTGCGGTAAGTAGTCTAGTGTGAATGTCCTTATGATAAAATGATTTTTTTTCTTCTGAGTAGATGCCTAGTGATGGGATTGCAGGATCAAATGGAATGTCTAGTTTGAGTTCTTTGAGGATTCTCAATACTTCCCTCCAAAAAGGTTGTATTACCTTGCAGTCCTACCAGCCATGAAAAAGTGTTCCCTTCTCTCCACATCCATGCCACATCTGCAGCTTTGAGATTTTGTGATGTGGGATGTTCATAGTGGGGATAGGTGATATATCAGGCTGGTTTTGATTTGCATTCCTCTGATGATTAGAGACAATGAGCATTTTTTCATATGTTTGTTAGCCATTCATCTATCTTCTTTAGAGAATGTCATATTCATCTCTCTTGTCCATTGATATAAGGGATTGTTGGCTTTTATGTTGATTAAGTTCTTTGTAGATTCTAGTTATCAAGCTTTTGTCTGATTCATAATATGCAAATATATTTTCTCATTTTGATGGTTGTCTCTGCTTTGGTTGTTGTTTCCTTAGTTGTACAGAAATTGTTCGATTTAATTAAATCCCCATTGTTTATTTTTGTTGTTGCAATTGCCACTGACGTCTTCTTCATAGTCTTTCACCAGTCTGATACCTTCAAGTGTTTTCTCCACACTTTCTTCAAGGATTTTTATTGTTTCATGCCTTAGATTTAGATCTTTTGTCCATCTTGAATCAATTTTAGTGAGTGGAGAAAGGTGGAGGTCCAGTTTCAGTCTTTTACATGTGGTTCTCCAGTTCTCCCAGCCAATCCAATCAGGGAAGAGAAGGAAATAAAAGACATTTAAATGGGGGCAGAGGAGATCAAACTCTCCTATTTATTGAACAGGGAGTCTTTCCCCTAAAGTATGTTCTTGTTTGGTTTATCAAAGAGTAGGTGGCTATAAGATGTTAGTTTCATCTCATGGTTTTCTATTCAGTTACAGATGTCTGTGTCTCTATTTTTGTGCCAATATCATGCTGTTTTGATCACTATTGCCTTGTAGTACAGCCAAAAATCTGGTGGGATGATACCTCCCACCTTTGTTTTTACTGCTAAGAATTGCCTTGGCTATATGGGGTTTTTTCTGGTTCCATGCAAAATGAAGAATTTTTTTTTCCAAATCTTGGAAGTATGATGTTGGTATTTTAATGGGGATTGCATTAAATCTGTAGATTGTTTAGGGGAAGCATAGACATTTTAACAATGTTGATTATTCCCGGTCATGAGCATGGTATGTTCTTCCATTTGTTAATATCTTCTGCTATTTGTTTTCTTAGAGTTTAATAATTTTCTTTCTAGAAGTCCTTTACCTCTTTTGTTAGGTATATTCCTAGATATTTCATTTTCTTTGAAGCTACTGTGCGGGGAACTGTGTCTTTGATTAGCTTCTCATCTTGGTTGTTAGTGGA